AGCACCTACCTATGAACTGACTATATTAACACCTTGGTTTTTAAGGATAAACAAGTAAAAATCATGTTGGTATCCTAATCTCTTTTTTAAGCTGTTGGGGTCTTGGGGATAGTGATGATAGTGGGTCCGGTTAAGCCGATTCACATGTCAACTCACTAGTTTGATGTTGTACACTTGTACTTAGCTATCTTAATACTAGTAGTAAGACATTTGACACTTAAATTTGAATTGATTGATATCAATTGCTCTGTTATTGGAGTGATAGTAAAAATTTATTTATTAAAGATAATGTTACTTTGAGACGTCTCATAATTATACTACTCATTTATTTAAGCTATTAAAGCATGGGTTTTCCTCTTACTCATTATTTTCCCTCCAAATCTATGCACCTGAGCTCATGGACATGAATATTGAACAAATCTAAATACAATTGTGAAATTTGTGTAGGCACTCTAAATTTAATAACCTTTATTAACATGGTCTTAGTATAAACAAACAATTGATTTTCCAAATACTAGCTAGTACAATATTTTCATAAAAAATATCAAATAAGATGCATTGTTTGATATATATTCCTAGTTCTTTTCCTCATAGATTGACAAAATTCATAGGAAACAAATAAATCATAACTATTCAAAGGAAGGTAGGTAATCACATTCCATAAATTGCTTGATAGTATGGTTGATAATAGTTACTAGGTCATGTTTATACTCAAATCCCAAATCCTTCAATTTCTTTGATGAAATAACAGATGGTACGATACCTTCATCATTCGACCTACATAATCGAAAACGACGTACCATAGAAAATCAGTGATCATGCAAAAAGACAACAATTAATGAAAGATGACATATAAAAGATGAAATAATATTAAGTATTACACTATTACCAGTTCATATTTGATGTACTAGGATATGATTGAGCAAGAAGTTCCAATAATTGTGACATATGACAATTTTGAGTGCAACACATGTAACGGCCTTCGGAGTTTGGATGTTCCATAAGAAATATGTGAGCATTGCATATGTCTTCAATGTGTACTAAGCCAATTGAGCCCATTCTCGCGTTCACGGCTTTTAAAATTGGGAATAGCTCAGGATCGCCTATGTAGTATTAAGAACAATCGACTAATTAAGTTGAATAAATAAATCGTTTTGACTTTACGGAGTTATAGAAAGGTTAGTTAAATTTATTAAAATAATAGGTAGTGGGGTACTAGTTGAGGAAAGAGAAGAAAGTAAGGCGTTTTGTGAAGACTATTAGTTATTAGAATGCATGCTATTAAAAATATAGAGAATTATAAAAAGGAAAAAGCTAACGAACGCCACGGTAATAAGCTACCTAAAAGTAGAAAGATTAAATTAAAATGAACATTAATTACACCGATCGACGCGTGATTTTGTCATGATTTCCCAAATTAATACCACTTTAGGTATTATTATTATTATTATTTTTTGAAAAAACCTTAGGTACTATTTTAAATGAACATTAATACCACGTTAGCAAGATCCTTATTAAAAATAGAGAAGTTAGAAACATTTCATTTATTTAAGCATGGCTGGAAAAAGAAAATGTTTTATTTATTTGAACACAAAGGGAGTATAAGTTTAGGAGTAAATGACAAAATCACGCACAATTATAAAACAGAGGAAATACTTTTGTCTAGCTTCTTACAATGACGAGAATCAAACCCATACCATCCCTGATCTCATATAGGATATACAGTACAATAGGGAAAGAAGCTTTAACTAGTTAAACTATCATTTTATTCATTTACTATCCCTTTATACATTTAAATGATTATTTAATAAAAGGATGTTTTGCATCATTATAATGTTGCCATGTTACTCTAGAAATTGATGGTCAAGCAATTTGACCCGAGTTGATGTGATGATGATTTCGACAATTCACTGTTTTCAACATTTTTTCCAACCAAATTAAACTATGCCTAAATCCTCCACTCCATACCATAAAAAAGTCAGATGTATTACTCAGTATATTCAAGGTCAAATTTGCTATTAATTTCTGTAAGACTTATACTTGGAATATGATTTAAGGTCGCATATTCATGACCATAACAAAATAAAATGACTTGCACGTTGATTTAGAGTATAACAAGAATTTAATATTAGTGTGTATATGACTATATGAGTATATGACATAACAAGACTAACCTACTGTGTTTTTTTTTTTTTTTCAAACTATGAACACACCTAACTTAAAAAACCATCGAATTAAATCTAGAATACAAATCCAGCTGAATAGAAGAGAATCGTACCTGTTATGGGTGATAAGAGGACTCGAACACTCGATGGAACGGTCGAGGTAAGGAAGGGGCCGGCTACGGTGGTAGTGATGACTGATACAAGGTCAAGTCCGTTCTCATTAGCAAACTTAAACGCTGCTTCCTCGGTGCTAAGCTTTGATAATACATAAACCTAAAAGTCGAACATAGATAATTATTCAAACATAAAAGTATAAAACTATTATTCTAAAATATGTGTTCACAACTTCACATGTATACTCGTCGAATTTTATGAACGGTTTGGGCCTTAGACATACTTCATAGTATTGTTTTATATATACGTCAAATTATTTAATACGGAGTGAAAGTAAGGGATAGCTTAAGTGATTAGAGCTTTTCTCCCGATTTTTGAAAATCTTGGAATCGATTCTCATTCCACCTTTGTACTCTCTAAACATGTAGTTAATACAAAGTTACGAATTAAAGAGCGTAACAGTCATATTAAAAAACCATAACGCGTAGAAAATTAAATCATTTTTATTAATCACAATAAGTCAATAAATATTAATAGTTTGATGGTATATGCCATTCTTAAGTTCAATAATGGTTCAAATTGATGACTCCACCTTGTTGTTTCGTTTATATTCCTACTTAGTTTTATATTGGATGATAGAAGTCAAAATGAATAGTCAATGTTTATTTAATATGCTAATATGTTTAGTTTATTTATCTTAGCTTATTTTATGATTCTGTCAAATTATATTCGAATATATCCTGCTAAGTATGCTAACCTATTCGTATATTCTGCTATAAGCATGTTTATGTTTTTATTATTCTTTAAGTAACTGATTTTATCTTTATGTTTCTAAGATAATATTTTCTGTCAAATGTATTTATTTATCTAGCTTATTATTTATCTTATTTGGTTGTTGAATTTTTTCTGAATATGATAAGATTTCTGTTTAAGATAAATATTGATGTTACTTGTGCTTGCTGGCCTGGTTTTTAGGAAGCTAAGTATGCTGTAACAAATTTCTAGCTGGAAGATAAACGTTGAATTTAAAAGCAGCCTTGGAGTTTGAATTTGAAAGCTTCGAAATTTCTGGAGTTTGTTGAAGACCCAGAGACTGCTGGCAACGTTTTAAAGTCAGCTTCAAAGCCTTATAAATAGCATGAAGATCAGCCGGTTTCATTATCCAAGTTTTTCAAGAAGTCTTGTGCTATTCTAAGAGCTTTAATTCTCTCATTGTTTACTACTTTTCATTACTTAAAAGTGAGGGAAAAATACGAGTGTTCACTTGTGCTAAACTTTGTAATACTTGAGTGATACACTTCGTAGTAAAATTATAATACTCGAAGTTGTTTGAGTGTGTTAGCTTTTATTTCTAGGATTTGAGTGTTTAAGGTGTAGTGGGAAGTACTACGGAGAGAAGATAGTGAGATCTTCTAGGTTGCTTTAGAACTCTAAGGGAAGAAATAAAAGTTGGTTAAAATCCTACGGGTTGGACAACCCTAGGCGGAGACGTAGGCCTTTGTGCTGAACTTCGTAACAATTCCTTGTGTTTATTTCTGTTTTTATTTTTGCCTTATTCTTGTTTTCGTTCTTTGTTTTAAACAGTTTTAACAAAATCCAAAACAAACGTTTATAACCTTCTGCTTACTAACTGTTTTACTTTAAATAGTGTTCAAAGTCTTGATTTGTAAAACATAGATCAGTTTATTCCGCCCTGTAACTGATCTCAAGGCCTTGACATTTTCTGTTTTGCGAAAAACGCCCATACTCTATTCAACCCCCCCTTCTAGAGTATTAATATGTTTATTCCATTACCATTGTGAACCTTTCATTTGGTATCAGAGCAGGTATTCACGTAAAGATCTAACAATCTGTGAAGATGAATTCCATTGGTGATGGAGGCTTCGCTCAAGGTCGATCCGCAAATCGCCCTCCTCTCTTTTGTGGCAAAAACTTTGCTCATTGGAGGTCATTGATGCAAATGTTCGTGATTGATCAAGACCTTGAACTCTGGGAGATTATCAAGAAGGGTCCTAAAGTTCCTATGAAGACCACTGAAAGTGGAGTAGCCGTTCCTAAGAATGATGATGAGTTCAACCAAACGGATCTTGAAAGTGTTGCAAAGAATTATCGTGCTATGAACTTGTTGTATTGTGGACTAGATGCTAATGAATTCAACCGTGTGTCTACATGCAAAAGTGCCAAGGAGATATGGGATAAGCTCGTAGTCACATATGAAGGAACAAGCCAAGTCAAGGAGACCAAAATCAGCATTTTCCTTCGACAATATGAACTTTTTAAAATGCTTTCAAATGAATCTATTAAAGAAATGTTTACTAGATTCACTCAAATTATTAACAATCTTGATTCTCTTGGCAGGTTTTTCTCAAATGAAGAAAAAGTGAGAAAGATCCTTCGATGTCTTCCAAAAGCAAAGTGGGGTCCTAAAGTTACAACAATTGAAGAAGCTTAAGATCTAAGAACCCTTCCTCTTGATGATCTATTGGGAAAATTAATTACCCATGAAATGTCCTTTGATGAAGAAGATGGAGAGCCTGCCTCATCCACAAAGGGGCTAGCTCTCAAAGCCAAGAAAGAAGAAGAGATAGAGGAAGATTCGGATGAAGATGATGATGAAGACCCCTTTGCTCTTCTCTCAAGGAGTCTTACCAAAATCCTCAAAATGAAGAAGAAGTTCTCAAAAGAAAGAAATCATGGAAAATCTGATCGATACAGCAATCGCCAAGAAAAGGCTAAGGGAAAGACATACAACAAACTCAATACCTAGAATGCTATGAATGTGGTGAAGAAGATCACCTTGTACGAGATTGTCCTCAAAGAAAGAAGTCTAAGCCCTACAAAAAGGAATTCAAGAAAAAGGCTATGGTGGCATCTTGGAGCGATTCTGACTCAAGTGATTCAGACGATGATGATCAAGCCAACCTATGTCTAATGGCAGAAAAAGACACTTCTAAAGAGGAACATCTTCAGGTAATTGTAAATAATCTCATGTCTAGTCCTTCAAATATTCTTTCTGAATTCTTGCATAATATGATTATCAATGAGGAAAGCTTGATTCAAGAGTCAAAAATTTTGAAAGAAAAACTCCGTACGCAAGTTGAAACTACTGAGAATTTAATCAAAGAAGTTTCTGTTTTAAAAGAAGCTTATACAGCTCTCGAAAACAAGGTCAAAGTGTCTGAAACTCATATCAAGGCCTTGAAAACCGAGAACAGTACTTTGAAACAAAAACTCACTTCTCTAAATTACTGTAATTATAGTCTTGAAAACGAGAAGAAAAGTCTTTTTTAAAAGTGTTCAAATCAGCAAAGTCTTTTAAATAAACTTTCAAATTCTGAAAATGATTTTAACAAAATTTTGGACAAAGCACGAGGATCCAGAGACAAAACTGGACTTGGTTTTAACAAATATCTTGACAAAAAGAAACCTACTGTTTTTGTTAAAGCCAAAGGAAGTTTAAATGGTCCTACCTGTTTTTATTGTTGCAAAAAAGGTCATACCAAGCTTACTTGTCCTTTCAAAAGGAAAGATCCTCATATTATCAAACATTCATTTCCTTATTTTACTCGAGACCAAATTAAGCAAATCTGGGTAGTTAAGGGAACTAGACCACCAAACATGGTCTATCCCGAATATGATTCCAAATTTGCAGTTTGGTCTAGAAAGGTTTGATAATTTGTTATTTTGCAGGAGAGCTTGAAAAAGAAAGATTATAGATGGATTTTAGATAGTGGATGTTCTCGGCACATGAGTGGAAATTCTTCTTTATTCTCTAAGGTTGAAACTAATCTATGTGGAACAATAACCCTTGGAGACAAAAAGAAGTGCAATATCGTTGGCATTGGCAAAATTGGAGGTGATGCATTTAACTCCATTGATGATGTCTATCTAGTTGATGGATTGAAGTACAATCTTTTAAGCATCTCTCAACTGTGAGACAAAGGCAACGAGGTAATATTTGATAGTGAAAAATGTGAAGTGCGTGACAAAGGTGGTAAGATCATTCTAACTGCTCCTAGAAATAATGATGTGTATTCGTTTCATTCTAATCTTGTTGAAAGTTCTAGTCTGAAGTGTCTCAAGGCCCTGACTGAAAATACAAGGCTTTGGAACAGAAGACTTGGACATATTAACATGCATACTATGAAAAAGCTGTCTATACAGAGTTTAGTGCGTGGCTTGCCTGAATTAAATTTCAAAGAAAAAGGGCTGTGCAAAGCATGTGCTCGAGGTAAACAGGTTAAAGGTTCTTTTAAGACCAAAAAGGTTATACGAGGAACCAGAAATAGATGATGAAAGTGATAAAGAAGCAGCAGAAGCTCCAGCAATGCGCCCTACCCAGAACATCCAAGAACCCATTTAAACCACAGAAGAATTAAATCAATCCTCTGTTTCTCCTCCTCAAAGCCCTGAAAGCTTATCTCAAGACCTTGAACCTGAACCTGAATCGAGCCAAAATTCATCTCATGGTCTTGAAACAGTACTCCAAGAACCTCCTGCTACCCCCTTACTAATGCGCAGAAAATTCAAACATGCCTCATCTCATCCTCTTGATACAATCATTTCTGACCCAAAATCTGGAATCCAAACCAGAGCAAACTTAAAGTCTCTTTGTGCCTTTCATGCCTTTGTTTCCCTTGTTGAACCAAAAAATGTCAAAGAAGCCTTACATGAACCGGATTGGATTATTGCTATGCAAAGTGAGCTAAATGAGTTCGAGAGAAACAAAGTCTGGAATTTGACTTCAAGGCCCAAAGGAAAATCAATAATTGGAACAAGATGGGTTTTCAGAAACAAGTTGGATGAAAATGGTAAAATTGCTCGAAATAAGGCAAGGTTAGTAGCTCAAGGCTACAATCAAGAAGAAGGTATTGATTATGAGGAAACTTTTGCACCAGTTGCATGTATGGAAGCAATCAGAATTTTACTTGCTTTTGCATCCTTTATCCGTATCAAACTATTTCAAATGGATGTAAAATGTGCCTTTTTAATTGGTTTTCTAAAAGAGGAAGTTTATGTAGAACAACCTCCTGGTTTTGAAAATGAATCTTTTCCTGACCATATTTACAAACTTGATAAAGCTTTATACGGTCTGAAACAAGCCCCAAGGGCTTGGTATGAACGTTTATCAAAATATCTTTTGGAAAACGGTTTTAAACGTGGTCAAGTTGACAAAACTCTGTTTGTTAAAATCAAAGCAAGTGACTTACTGATTGTGCAAATTTTTGTTGATGACATTTTGTTCGGTGCTACTAATGATTCCCTATGCAAGGAATTTTCTGATATAATGTGCAGGGAATTTGAAATGAGCTTAATGGGTGAACTCAATTTCTTTCTTGGATTGCAAATCAAACAAGATAAAGGAGGCATCTTTGTGAATCAAGGCAAATATACCAGAGAGCTCCTTAAGAAATATGATATGCTACAATCCAAAGAAGTAAAAACTCCTATGAGTTCATCACTATCTTTAGACAAAGATGAGAATGGTAAATCAGTAAATCAAAAGCAATATCGAGGTATAATTGGATCTCTTCTTTATTTAACAGCAAGTCGACCTGATATTATGTTTAGTGTTTGTATGTGTGCACGTTTTCAAGCTGATCCTAAGGAATCACACTTAAGTGTTGTTAAACGTATTTTAAGGTATCTAAATGGAACTAAGGACTTTGGTCTTTGGTATCCTAAAAATAGCAACTTTGAGCTTGTTGGGTATTCGGATGCTGATTTTGCAGGTTATAAAGTAGACAGGAAAAGTACTTTAGGTTGCTGCCAATTTCTTGGATCATCTCTCATAAGTTGGCACTCTAAATTCCGTAGCTTTATCAACTGCAGAAGCTGAATACATTGCAGTCGGTGCTTGTTGTTCACAAATATTGTGGATATCTCAACAGCTTAAAGATTTGGGCCTTAATTATACAGGAATACCTTTAAAGTGTGATAATACCAGTGCTATATCAATTGCTAAGAATCCTGTGCAGCACTCTCGAACCAAACATATTGATGTTCGACATCATTTCTTAAGAGATCATGTGGAGAAAGGTGACATTTCTATCTCTTTCATTCCTACAAATTTTCAAATTGCTGACATATTTACCAAGCCTTTGAGTGAAGAAAGATTTAATTTTATACGGCTTGAGTTGGGAATACTAAATAAGGATGCAACTTCGTAGGGGGAGCCAAGGTACGTTACTTAATTTATTTAATTGTATTTGTTTTTGTGTTAAGTGCAAATTACTTCAGAGCCCTGAACTATATTTCAAGGCCTTGAAGTAAAACTGCCAAAAAATAAATAAATAAATCTAGAACAGTACTTGGTGATTATTCTCGTGAATTCTCATTCAATGTACTTATTTATTATTTCTTTTGAAAACGTTTTCAAAACTCGTACATTCATTTAATCTATTTGATTTTTAAACAGTCGCACCTTTTCACCTTTATATCTTTTTAATCTGTTTTGAAAAATCTTTTACTATCCCGTACCTATAAATACTTGCCTGCATTCACTCCTTCTCTCTCATCCGCCAAAAAGATTCCACTCTTTCTCTCCTCTGCTACCTCTGTCTTCTCCTCTTCTACACTCTTCCATTATTCTTTTTTCCCTTTCTTCATGGCGCCCAAAAGAAAGCATGTCGCCATTAAACTTGCTCAGAAAAAGAAACAAGCCAAAGCTCAAAAGAAAGCTCCAAAGCAAGTTCCATACTCTGAACCTTCACAATCGGCATCTTCTCATTCATCAATTCGAGAAGAGGAAGCCCCATCGAAAGCCATTCCTGTCAAATTTCCTGAGAAATCTCAAGCTTCGGCTTCTCAAGAACACACTTTTGAAGTTCCATCCTCTCTCCCTCCTTCATGGTTCAAGAATTTCACAACCCTTGGTAAATGGAAGGATGGGTATCACTCTCGCAAGATTTGTTCTTGTGAACCAATTGCTATGGATCTTGTCAATTCCTCATCGCTTCGATGTTTCAAGCTATTTCGTGAGTCTTCTCTTGTTCATCTTGCTTCTCTGCCTAATTTTGCATACCCTCGTCTCACTCGTTTATTTTATCTTAATATGACTCTTGTTAATTCTTGTGAGGGGCCTTCAATTGAGTCAATTGTTAAAGGAATCAAAATTAGATTAACTAATCAGATTCTGGCAGAAATTTTGGGGGTTGCTCCTGTTGTGTATGATAAGTCCTTTCCCTCTCGTATTTCTTGTATTACTGCTGCTAGGACTCAATTTCTTTTGCCTAATACTCCTACCTCAAAGCAGCTCACTCACTCTTCTCTTGATCTTGAACCTAAGATCATTTTCCAATTTCTGACTCGAACTATTATGCCCAGATCTAATTCAAGGGAATTATTGACTGATTAATGCCTTGAAATTCTGTATTTGCTGTTCAATGGCTATCCTCTTGATCTGCCCTCCATTATTCTCACATATATGTCTCACATCTACAACTCTACTCGTCTTGCTACCCTTCCCTATGCAAACCTTTTGCCAAAGATCTTCGAATTTTTTGATGTTCCAGTTGACATAGAGGAAGTAGATCGTCTTACTACTTCTAGTGTGGGCCTGGAACTCTTCAACAAAATCGGAATTTTTAGGGTTGGAAGGGATACATGGAAGTTCATCTCAGACCTCTCTGATGAAGACCTTGCTGCCATTCCCTCTGCCTATAAACCCAAAGCTGATATTCCTGTTCCTGCTTCAAAACTTCAAGCTCTGGAATTTGGCATGGAGGATCTTCGCCAGTCCATGTACTCCCTGTTTGCAGATGATGAGAGGAAGCTTGATGAAATCAGTGCTCAGTTGGCTGGTTGAGCAGGGGAGTTGCAGGACTCAAGGCTTATTTCTGATTTTCAAGGCCTTGATGTTTTTTAAAAAGTTATTTTGCTTCTTTTGGTCTGTAATAACTTTGAACTTATGTTTTTTAGTTGTTTTTCAACCTTTGTTCCAGACATTTTCTCCCTTGATTGGATGTCAAAAAGGGGGAGAACATCTGTGTTTGTGTGTGTTAGTTTTTGGAAAGTTTTTGGTATATATATGATTAATGTTTTTGAATGATGGTTATTATTTATGCTCCTTATGTTATCTTACTCTAACCATACTTGTTCTCTTTATTATTTGTCACAGGTTTTGACTTCCATCAAGGGGGAGATTGATGACTCCACCTTGTTGTTTCACTTGTTGTTTCGTTTATATTCCTACTTAGTTTTATATTGGATGATGGAAGTCAAAATGAATAGTCAATGTTTATTTAATATGCTAATATGTTTAGTTTATTTATCTTAGCTTATTTTATGATTCTGTCAAATTATATTTGAATATATCCTGCTAAGTATGCTAACCTATTCGTATATTCTGCTATAAGCATGTTTATGTTTTTATTATTCTTTAAGTAACTGATTTTATCTTTATGTTTCTAAGCTAATATTTTCTGTCAAATGTATTTATTTATCTAGCTTATTATTTATCTTATTTGGTTGTTGAATTATTCTGAATACGATAAGATTTCTGTTTAAGATAAATATTGTTGTTACTTGTGCTTGCTGACCTGGTTTTTAGGAAGCTAAGTATGCTGTAACAAATTTCTAGCTGGAAGATAAACGCTGAATTTAAAAGCAGCCTTGAAGTTTGAATTTGAAAGCTTCGAAATTTCTGGAGTTTGTTGAAGACCCAGAGACTGTTGGCAACGTTTTAAAGTCAGCTTCAAAGCCTTATAAATAGCATGAAGATTAGCCGGTTTCATTATCCAAGTTTTTCAAGAAGTCTTGTGCTATTCTAAGAGCTTTAATTCTCTCATTGTTTACTACTTTTCATTACTTAAAAGTGAGGGAAAAATACGAGTGTTCACTTGTGCTAAACTTTGTAATACTTGAGTGATACACTTCGTAGTAAAATTATAATACTCGAAGTTGTTTGAGTGTGTTAGCTTTTATTTATAGGATTTGAGTGTTTAAGGTGTAGTGGGAAGTACTACGGAGAGAAGATAGTGAGATCTTCTAGGTTGCTTTAGAACTCTAAGGGAAGAAATAAAAGTTGGTTAAAATCCTACAGGTTGGACAACCCTAGGCGGAGACGTAGGCCTTTGTGCTGAACTTCGTAACAATTCCTTGTGTTTATTTCTGTTTTTATTTTTGCCTTATTCTTGCTTTCGTTCTTTGTTTTAAACAGTTTTAACAAAATCCAAAACAAACGTTTATAACCTTCTGCTTACTAACTGTTTTACTTTAAATAGTTTTCAAAGTCTTGATTTGTAAAACAAAGATCAGTTTATTCCGCCCTGTAACTGATCTCAAGGCCTTGACATTTTCTGTTTTGCGAAAAACGCCCATACTCTATTCAACCCCCCCCCCCTTTTAGAGTATTAATATGTTTATTCCATTACCATTGTGATCCTTTCACAAGTAATAACTCAATCATAAATTTGCATTAAATTTGGTAATTAGTATAGATTTGACATGTCATTATTCCTCATGTGACGCCAAATATATTAAGAGAAGAATGAATACATGACGATACAATGTTATCCCTTCAATTTTACTATGTGGCGCCA